GATTTGATGATCTCCAATGAATAACCTATAATTATCTTATTTTTATTGTTCTGATGACGCTGTTTGTATTTTTCTTTGTGTTTTTCAGTATTTTCTTTTTTTTTGGTTGTTAAAGGTGATGCTCTCTTGTGGCATCGCAATATTCCTTTCTAGTCCTACCAGCAATACATTTGCCAAGACAGTTCTTATCATTTTCATTATATATTCACCTTCTTTCTTTTCGGGTTGCTTTCTGTTTTGGCATGGGCATTCCTCAATAAGAACCCGTTTACAGTTTTCAACGCCAAACTCATCAAACCGATTTCATAGAGTTAATATGGTGTTTTTGGGGATTTGTATTGTGTATATAGATAAGATTTATAATATCTTCTATGTCTTGCCATTCTTTGACTTAGTTTTTCAGCGTTGTTGAAGCGATGTGGCAATTACTTCGACCAACATCAACTATCTTATAAATGTGTCCTATTTCAATTCTGTTCGTATCTATTTATACACATATATCTTAATTCATCTTTTCATTATGTAGATATTTTATGGCATAATGTCCAAACGGGAGACTCTCAAAATCTGAATACCAGTAGCGTTTATTGTCGTAGTTGCTTAAAGCATACTTAGTCTGATTAATGCTATAGATTTGATGGTTCTTACTTCTGATAGTGTTGAAACTGACTTCTTCTTTACAGTTTCTATTCAATGTCTCGTCATAGGTTTTGTAACTTAACTGATTGCTCACTTTATGCTTTACTACTCCTTTACTCTTATGTTCTTTATCGTCACCATATACTTTATAGCAATATGCCTTTGGTTTCAATCCTATAAAGTGAGTAATTATTTTACCGTTCATTTCATCCTTGAATTTTCCTAATACCTTCTTGTTTGTTTTATCATAGTTTGGATGCTCTGGTGGATAATCACTAAAGTCCATGTAATCATTCATCTCCTTAAAGTCTTCATATAAGTCATCAGTCTCAACTTTGATTACATAACTATCAGTATCAGTATAGACCAATTTAATATTATCTTGATATTTTGGTTTCAAAACATCATAAGAGAAGGAATACATGTGAATTTTAGAATAGTCTAAAATAGACATACCCATATAGATAGGTTTGTTTAGTTCCACTGTGTGTTTATCTTTTTCAACAATTACAAGGTCTTCATTTATGATATGTATGTGCTTGAATAGCGGTTTATTTACCAGTTTTTGGAAGCGTTCAGGCGTATTGACAATTTCAAAATCACCATGCTTTCTTACATTCTCCATGGTCTTGCCATATACGCTATTATTCATTAACTTAAACAAATCTTTTTCAAAGTCATTGTTGGCATTCTTTCTCTTTTCAGTGTTGAATTCAATGAATGGTTTTAGGAAGTTTGCTTGTTTAAAACTTATTGCCCTATGGACTTTTTTAAGACGTAATCCGTGTTGCAAATAGAATTTCAATGCTGATATGTGTAAAACATACTTCTTTTTATCCATCACATTTAATACTAACTTATTTGTCTTTTCATCACTGGCATCTTTTCCATAATAGTATTTGTGTATATCCTTTTGGACTTGTGAAAGCATACTCTCATTGATACACATGATTTCAGGTGCTAGTGGGTAGTCTTTATGTAAATCATGTAGTTCTTTTGGGTAATCTAAATCAACTTCCAATATGTATCCTATGTCATCATCATCACAATATTTCATTACTCTCTTTTCATCCAATCTACCGTAATGCCATTTAAAATCATCATAGGGAAGTTTCTTACACATTGCTAATCCGTAAAGATTATTAGCGTCTAAATAACTTATGTACGATGAAGGTTTAGATTTATCATAATCTTCATTCATGTATTTATTGTTTGCTTCTACTTTCTTGAAGGAGCATTGTGTCATTCCTCCTCTTAATCCTTTTTCAATCATCTCAAACATTTCTTTTATGTGGATTTGTTGAAGTCTAACTCCTGTTAATGATAAAAAGGCATTCCAAGAATAGTTAGGTAAAGTGATATAATATGCTGGGTCTAATCCATAATAGTTTAAGCACATGTCCCTAAAATTTTCAAATACAGTACATCAGTTAGTAAATATACATCAGTCATCAAATATAAATCATGATATTCACCAAGGTTTTTAATGTCAAAATGTTTCCATACGATATTTGCTCTGGCGTAGTCTTTGTCAGTTATGTTTTCTTCATATAATTTACTGTAAAATATTCCTTTTTTGGTAGTTTTGTTTCATCGAATTTCTCCCATGAGTTCATGTAGTCATAGGGATATACCCCTTTCTCAGTTAGTAAATTCAAATTTTAATGTATGGGTTAGTGCTTGTATATCTAAAACGAGTTTCCCAGTTTTTAATCTTTTCATTTCCTTCATATTTGTTCAGTCTAACTAATTTATCTAATGATGCTGTTAAGAAAGCAAAACTGTCTTTAAACTGACAAGCGCCAAATGAAAAGGTTATGAACTTTTCGCTGTTTTGTGCTATTACATCTATTCTTTTGTTTTGGTTTAGTTCTATGTTTAGTTCATTTGCTTTTGCTATGATTAAGTGAGCGTCATAATTTTTAAGATTATGAAAGAAAATAGGGATCTTAAAATACCTAAATGAATAACCCAAATTACATTTTACATGCGCCGCGCCTCTGTATTTGCCTGTGAAGTGGCAGTGGTCTTGGACTTTTGTATCATCAGGTTGAAATTTCTTATTACATATAGAGCAGTGGGTCGCGTTTCTAAATTCTGTCTTTTGTTCGTAAGTTAATTCATCCATTGGTCTATTAACATTCATCTTTTCAAATATATCTTTCTTAATTTCAGTCAGTTGTTCTACAAACTTTTTCATACAATCCTCACCTCTGTATAAGTATGGTTGGCATGTATTATCAATCCTTCTTACTACATTCAACATATAACCGCACGGTTTATGTTCCTGATATGTGCCTTTTATACCATTGTTAGAGCTAGTGGTTAGACATTCAAAATCACCATAGATTACAAAAGGACAAGGCAATTTGGTATTATGCTTTTGAAATTCTATGTAAGTGTCTTTATCAGGCATCGTTGTTTGTTGTCCTTCTGATGCCATACATCCCTTTTCAAGATGGTTCTTATATGCCTTTTCTGATGAGAAAGGGTTTAAGCAATGATGGCAGTAGTGTTTCTTGTTGATATTTTTGTTGCTTTGGCAGTTAAGTAATCTACTTTTGTTTTTCACTAATACATAGTGATAGTTATTACCTTTATCATAGACTTGTAATAAATCAATTTCATATTTAGCATTTCTATTTTAAGTGCCTCTATGTATGATTATTTTATTATCATTTAGGCAGTCATCAGTTTCAAAAACATTTATTGAAATTAAGTTGTTGTTCTCTTCAAATCTGTCTATGTCCCTATTGCAAGTTGGAAATTTTACACCATCCCAGTTCAAAATATCATCGTTTAGTTTATTATAGTGGAACATTTCCTCTGGGTGATGTTTGCTAATTTTGTCATAGACTACGGATTGAATACAGTATTTGAAACATGTTTGGTCTTTATTTTTTATGTTGATACAAGCTTTCTTTGATTTAATCCATTCTGGTAAATCTATAAAACTGCCTGCTCTTGTTGGGTCAAATTTGTCATAGTGAATAGTTATTGATAAAATCTTTCTAAATCTTAAATTAGATGTTGAACCTTCCAAATTTTGCATTTGTAATCGGATTTGAATAACACTATCTTCTAATGCTTGTGTCAGTTCATATTCATTGTGAATTGGATGATATGTTGATGGTAAAGCATATACAAGTTCTTCACTTCCTAATTCATTTCCTCCATCATCATATTCAGGTTTTTCAAATAATCCTTCCGTTCTTATGTTAAGTTTCATGTTTCTATTATTGCTTAAAAATTCTGATAGTCTTTGCTTTTGGTGAGCAATCATTTCTAATCCTCTTTCTCCTTGAAAGTGCTTGTTTTCTAAAACTATTGAATTAGCATATCTTCTAAATGCTGATTGAATATCTCTGACCCTAAATTTATTTCTTATTGCGTGTTTGGTTATTAATTGTCTAACCCTTTCTCTACTTACAACATCTGTTGCCTTTTTCATAGCATAACTTCTGTATTCATTAGTGTTCTTTACTGATAGTAGTTTCTTGGTCAAGACATTTGATATGGGTTTGTCTTTGTTGTATCTGAATTTCCTGTTGTCTATGATTATGGACTTCAATTCTTTCCTTCCTCTCTTTGGTATTTCTGCTAAATCATTACTCAATAAATAGTCTATAACTTTTTTCATCATATAATAGTATATATTTTATTTAGTTAATTTATCTTTAAGTAGTTTTCAAAAGAATGCTTTATTTTAATCATAGAATATATACTTAAAGAATAGTTATTTAAGTATATTAGTGGGATGGATTGTGTGAAGGATTTACCTGTTGATGTGTTGAGTAAAATTGATTCGGAAAAAATTGGAGACCCGAAATATTTGAAAGTAAAGTATAGTGAAGCATTGAAGAGAATACAGCACAATATAAAATATCAAGACTTGGTCCTAAAATAACAAGACATTTGAAATCAAGAAAAAAAATATATATCATTGAATACTGTATTGTGAGAGAGGGAGTGCCATTTAGTTTAAAAAGTATAGAAGACATAATAACAGAAGAAAAAGAAGAATTATTATCTTTAATTTATGAAGAAGTAGAAGATGATGTAATAGAGTTAAACTTGATATTGAAGTTCAATTAGTGGCAAAACTCCCAGAAAAGGAATATGGAGAAAATGAATTTAGTTATAGAGAGATTTATTTTATGAATGGCTTTGATGAATACGTAGATAAAGATAATATAGATGATGTATTAGATAAAGCAGTTGAAGAAATACAGGAAGATATAGATGAAGACAATGATAAAGACAGTATAATAGGAATACAAGCATTTCATTTTGAATTACAGCACCCGACAGAATTATGGAAAAAATAAAACGTTTCAATTTACAGGCGCCGCCTGTCTATGATAGAAAAGTTACGAACCTTTTTTTTCCATAATTATTGTTTCCATAATTGTTTTTTCCATAATTCTGTCGGTGACTGTATGTCCATCGATTCGCAATTTGAATGCATTTTAAGGGGGAATATTGAATTATAGAAAATATGTGTCTAAAGATCTGGTATATGCCCCTAAATCTTCCATTGATATACATAATATCATGTGATGTTCGCAATTTGAATGCATTTTAAGGGGGAATATTGAATTATAGAAAATATGTGTCTAAAGATCTGGTATATGCCCCTAAAGCCTGCCATTGATATACATAATATTATGTATACGGGTATGTACATGTAAACCCCATTTCACCATTCGCTTCCATAGCCCAAAAAAAAACGGGTTTGAATTGTGGATCCATGACATGTCCAACAGGTGGAGCCCCAAACATTAATTATGGAAAAACTAATTATGGAAAAACCGGTCAATCTGCCCTAGCCCCCTGATTTCACAGGAAAAAATCAAGTATGGAAATAATGGCCACCTCCAAGAATTATGGAAAAAAAAAGGTTCGGATCACTTCCGGGATATTTTGAACCCTTATGGGGAAAAATCCAATTATGGAAAAATCGGACGCAGGCGCCGCCTGTCTAAGTTGAACGTTTTATTTTTTCCATAATTCTGTCGGTTACCATAGTAATTATTGAAGTCATTTACTACTTACATAATTTTAATGATAATATTATTAGAGTTATGGGTTTGTAAGATAGGATTATTAAAGACTAAGGAAGTATTTGTATTGTTGTCTATTGTTTTGTTTTTTATGTTGCGCTTTGCTTGGTTTGTTTTTTTTGTTTGTTGTTTGGTTGTTTTGTTTTGGGTATGGAATGGATGAGGTGATGATGTATTGACTGTGACGATTTCTATAAAATGGATGAGGTATAGAGATTGTAGGTTGTTTTGATTTATGAAAATGAATGAGATGATGATATGGTTAGTAGTGATGATTTTGTGGAATGAATGAGGTAATTGTGGTTAGTTGTTATGTTTTTTTTGCAAATAATTATTGAGTTGTTATACTGCTATAATTTGAATTTATAAAACTTCTTTGAACTAATGTTTTTAACATTTTTTTGGGGGGGGTCCCCCCTACACTAATCTGTATCCCACATTAATTTAAATCTATTTTACATGCAAGCTAGTCAGAAACTGTGATGGCTCAAGGTGTTCCACTCATCATGCATCTTCCCCCCAATCTCAATGATAGTCCAACATTCGCGACCCAAAAATGTGGCACCCCCGGGCCTCGGGATGCCAGCATGAAGGCCACCTGGGTGGAGAACAGGCGCAGCATGGCGCAGCAACGGCAGCTCGGGGCAACAACACATCGCTCTTGAGCATGCCGTACCGAGGCTGTGACATACAAGAAACCCCAGAGGCTCACACCTCACAATAGCAAGGAGACGTCAATGTGAGATATATCAAAGATGTGGCATGGTGGCGAATGGAAGGCCATCTCATTGGTCGGTGTTTTGCACATGATTCATCAAAAAACGGGTTGATCATTCTGCCCTGCTACCCCAATGATCCCAAATCAACAATGATGACAGAACACCATCATGCCAGATTGGGCCTCGCAAAGCCAGAGTGATGGGAGGCAGCAAGCAAAGGCTGGGCGTCGCCAGAATGCATTTGCATGACCTGAGGGAAGACAAAAGTAAGATCCAGTGCTTCCGACAAACCCTACAAGGTGGTGCCACCCAATTATAGGATGTTATAAGTTGGTTTATAACATCCATGAAGTACAGATGTAAACAGTAAGTATGTATATAATATATATATATATATATATACACAATCATATGCGTGTATAGCATCTACCAGAAACCCTCAGAAACCCTTGTCTTGCCAACACCATGGCTGGCATCCAGCACCAGAAACCCTGAGGCTCCAGGCCAAGAGATACACTTCACAGCCTGGTCGGATGCCCAAGGGATGCCAAGGGGGTGAAGCCAAGCCACTTCTAAGCTCCGCACGGTCTCCATCCATGCACTCATCTGACAACCCATCCACAGGAAAACAAACCTAAGTACTGGCAACATACTGAACGACTCTCCATCTCTCTCCCTCTCTCCCTCGCTCGCTCGCTTGCTCTGTCCCTCTCTTTTTCTGTTTAAACTCTCTTAGATTTGTCATGTGTGGTTTCCTCTCAGGTACCATCCAACAGCAGTCCTGTACCCGCAACAACTTTTGGGAAATGTGTCAAGAATTGTGGGGACCAAACCGCGCCAACATGTTTCTACTAAGCCAATGACCCCACTACCATCATCGCCCAGGCAGCTACTTGATCCTGGCGTTGCCAGCATTTTTGCTGGGGTCATTGGCCCCAAAATGCCCTAAGCATCTTCAACTGGGCATGAGCAAAAACATGGCCGTTGTCAACTCACTGCAGCATCACCATTCTCTGCGGTTGTATGTCTGTGTGTCAGGAACCTGTCAACGTTCTGGGAACACTCCCTTTTACATCCTCTTACCCTTTTCTTTACACGATTGATACCTCTGTCGCTTCTGTTTCTTCTTCCAATTCTTCTCCGTTTTTCGTGCCGTTGCTGTGGAGAGTGTCGCCTTGCTGTGGATGGTGTGAGAAAAATACAGGTGCTTCATGCGAAAACACCCTGCCTGCCCTGAGGCCCCTTCACTGGTGCCGCAGAGATCTGTCCTGGGGATTGCGGCATAAATTTTGCACAACTCCTTGAATCCTACCCCCTACAGTGGTGAAAAGCCATGAGAAGAGACAAAGTCCCACTCCAAAAATACAAATTATAAATTTAAATATATACATATATATTATACATATATCTGTGTATGTGCTTACATACGTATAATACAAGTGCGTGTCTTTGTGCTATATCAAGGTGTTCTTTGTTTTTTGGCTACCCTTCACTCCCAATCCTCTGCGCATCGTTCCGCGAGCACCTGAGCACTGTATGCACAGAATACAGTCCTAATCAAGAAATTCATGTTCATTAGTTAATTACTGTTAGTTAATGTTAACTGTTGATAACTATAGCTGATACTGTATATTTAAAAAAATGATGTCACTTATTTACTTACCAGTACTTGCTAATTTGCTAGTTATATAATTAGTATAAGCAGCCGGAGCTTTGCTTGAGCCTTATCACCTTGGGAGATCATGCAGTGCGATCGTCCTGAGGCTTCTACCAAAATAAATACGCTGAGGTGGCGAACGATGCCGTCTGGCACAAATGGCACTTCAGTTTTTCGGACTTCACACAGTGCCGGAGACTGTTTGGTGCAAAATTGTGGCAGAGAATGTCCTTCCAGAATCTTCCAGACACAATCATCTGACTGCACACACTCCCTTTTCTATCCTTTTCTTTGGTCGAGTCATGTATTCACCATTTTGACCCACGATGCTGGGCTCAAGTAAAATCCATGGACCCCCTCTCTAGCCCGAGAAAGATGCTTGGTTCCCCCATGTTCTCCCAAAGCATGCCACGATGACAATGACAATGAGCACGCCAGCCCTTAGCACCGATCAGGACAAACCAGTTACACTAGGTGATGATGCCTTGTGCCACAGGCCACGGCTTTCTTGGATGCTTTTCTTGCCGAAAATCCGACTTGCAAAGCAACAAGACAAAGAAGTGACCTGGGGGACCTAGCATGACCTAGCTACAGCATCAAAGTTTGCAGGCTGATGGCAGCAGGTGTCAAGGTTTTCTGGAAAACCTTCACGAAGCCTAAAAAATCCAATGCCCAAAACCCGCAGCAACTCCAGCAACCTTTTCGGACGCGCTATTTTCAGAGCTCCAACTTTGGGTTGCCATCTGCGATGTTTTGCTCTGGCAAGATGCTCTGAGCAGAATAAGTAACACGGCCATTGCCTGCGATGCGGATACCAGCACCTTACTGCAAACGAACTAAGCCTAAGGATGTTGGGGAAGAACTGATTCGCAAACGTCCTGGCTGTGTTTGTTGGGGGTTCAAGATTGAAATTGGATGAAATTGGATCCTTTGATGCCAATTTCCCAGGCCGCACTCCGCAACTTCCCTGTCCTTCCATCCAGGGCGTGGAATAATCCATGGCTCTGCTTTAGTTGGAACGTTCGCCAAGATATGACAAGATATCCTTAGCTGCAAAGGGGATCAAAATTGATCAACGACTCCGAATCTTAGAAGCTACAAAGCGTAGTGTACAAGTAGCTCTGTTGAAGGTATTTTCACACATTTTCACACAGTTCAATCAGAGTTGCAGGGCCATACTGCCAAAGAGACCCAAAGAGACCCAAAGAGACCCCTGCAAACAGCCGAAAAAACACTTGAGATGGCACCAGGTGGTCCGAACCAGGTCCCAACCAGGTCCCAACACCAGGTCCCACCACTGGGACTGGGCACGCCACAATGATCGATCATCCGAGCATTTCTCATTTGGAGACGGCAAAAGACATGTCTAAAAAAGGCGTCAGAATGTGTGGAAAAACATGAATGAACACTGGCACTGGATCACACTGGATAAAAAAATCCAGGACTCCTGCGAAACAAAAATCAAGAGTTGTTTTTGGAATGACCCGAACCTTTTGCGCGAACATGTGCCCTTCTGCCGCTGCACAGTCTTTTTCATCAGCGGTCCACCACTATCACTGGCCTTTGGCCGAGGATGTGGCAAGTGCTGTCGCTATCTGTTTCTGCTGCTGCCTAAAGCTTTCACTACTTTACCGAGTTCAGGCTTTATGTGCCCAAGAATCCTGCGGCTTCTTCTTCAGAACATCCTGCCATGGGATGTCCAGTGACACTTTCAACCATGCTTTCTGCAAATGTTTGTGCTTTTTGTTCCCCTTTACTTCTGCAGAAATCCATAAAATCTCTCTCTTTCCCTCCATCCCCCAATCTTTGATTTGGGAATTTTGCATGTCTCAGCTCGTTATACATAATATATATATACCATTAGTTTCGAGACTGCAAAAACGAAATGGGAATCGCGGATCAACGCCGTCATAACTGTCATGCATCTCACTTCTGAGGCATCAAGGTTTCCATGCTACCCACATGATGATCGTGATGGTCCTTTTGTTTTACACGATCTCTGGACAATTTCTGCACGTCTGCGCTAGAAGAGTCTCGCATCATGGCCTGCCAGTGGACACGAAAAGCGAACGCCATCATTTTGGTGTTCATGTCCTTCCTCAGATCTAAGACCACCCGGTCTTAAGTCTGAACAGTCTCGTTGATAATGATGAGCCACTTATAAATAGATCATCTATGACAATGGGTTATAATGGGCAATCATAATAAAGCATCATTGGTACTTAGATTGGAGCTTTCTTAAGTCATAGGGCTACCCCAAGAATCATCCAAAATCATCCAAGTCATTAGACCATGACTTACATCACTTGATTTGTTTCAAGGCTACATTGACTTGGAGATCCCACCGCCCCCCACCTTGAACTCTTCAAAATCCAGCGTGACATCTCCGTCCTGATCGGAGGCCAACACCTAAGCAGGACACCTCACCAAGGTGAGGTCCGGCAACCTCCAACAATCATTAAGGGGTTGACTAAGGTTCTGCCAAAACACCTGGTTTCGAACATCACTGGCCATCACTGGTTTTAGGGCTTGAGAATTCGGAATGTTTGGGGGTTTTGCGTTTAGGGTTTTTCCTTGATAGTTTTTATCTAATTATATAGATGTTTTTAGGGTTTAGGCTGCAGGGGTTTAGGATTTAGATGGGTTGAGGGTTTGCGGCTTTAGGATGTTAGGGTTCAGATGACTTCTGCAATGACGCACAGGTCCCCTACCTGAGCTTTTCAGGAATGCAAGAATGACCCATAATTTACAGTGTTTTGAGAATGCCTCGGGCAAAACAAGGTAATTGTCTGAAAGGTTACCCTTAGATGTTATCAACCAATATTGACCAGCTATCATTGAAGGATGATGAAAGTCAGGTCAGCATTGAACCAGCATCCGGCCTCTTCAATCGCAGGAAAGAGATTGAAATCCAAATCCTGGAAGCAGCGACATTCCACCCACGTGCCCGGAAGGATTCATGATTTGATACCAGTACATGGGTCAAAGACATGTGGCTAACCCAATCAAAACCTAGGGGGAAAAAACAGGAGGACAAATAGAAGCTACATGTTATTTAAAAGTTTCCATATCTTTCCTTTCACCACTTTCCAACTTTCATGCTCAGACACGCCTTAAAGGATTCAGATTTCAGTGCTTCTTGAAGCTCGGTGCGGTTGATGTGGCCGTCACCATTGCGGTCAAAGGTCCTGATGGCCGTGGCAGGTCGTGGCCAATGGATCCAGGTCCTTGCTGCTTGTTCTTGGGAACGCCCTCAGGTCCAATCTGATGTTTCTATCTCTATTCCCATTGCTGCAGCAAAGGCTCCTGAAGACCGCCTGGGACAAAACATGCATGTCAGAGCACAAACATAAGACTGCTACAAAACACAACAAACGGTTAATTTTGGGTTGTGGTCAGCTAAAAACAAGAATTACATGTATAACGTGTATAATAATGAGAAGGAAAAGTATACTATTTTTCAAGCCGCAAAAAACACCACCTTGTGATCATGTTTCATGTCATGCACATTGTTGGCAAAACTGCCGTGAAAGATCATCTGCAGTTTTTCCGAGGTACTAGGCAAGTGCTGTCAGTCGTGTAGTGCTTTCTGTCCTTACGTGGCACTGGCGGTTCCCCCATGTCCGTCCTTCGCAAGCCACGCACACTGGAAAGTAAAAAGGGGGCATCACCAGCTAAATTTTTGGAGGACAATTTCAGTGGCAATGCTGGCTGATGCTGGCTGTGCTAGGGGATGGACAGTCATTGCAGCAATAAACTCTGGATATGAGATGGTCGCACTGCCATCAACGTCCAGCAGGTCCATCAGCCTGCACAGCACCAGCAGCGAGCAGTTTCCGGCACACGATGGCGCATAACAGTGGATGCAGAGTGTACCGATACGGACCAAAATAGAATGAACATGAGCGCCTACTCTGCCCAACATAAAGCTAACAAATATGCCAGCATTGAGCAGCACATCCCAAATTTCCTGCACAAGTGAAATGGCCCCTCCTCTCGATGTCTTCAGGAATGGCTGCTCTTGCTCGGTAGCCTCCACTTGTCATCCTTGCAGAACTGCATGGCCAAAGTCACACAACTGAAACAAGGTTTCTCAAATCATGATGCTAGGATGTTCGAACGTTGATGTGACTTGATGGATAATATTGTTTCAAAACAATCCAAAATAGTGATACAGTAGATGAGGTGACTCTCCCACCCATACAGTATATGGTGACAATCCTCGCTTAGCGTTGTAGTTCTAGTTGGTCAAGTTTCACCCTTGATCAGCCCATGCAAAGAGACCCCATCAGTGTATAAATCCAAATCACCGAAGATCATCTAAGCAATTGTGCACTATATGTTTGCAATATATCCGCCATTAAGCCTAGTTCCAGATATATTCATAGTTCATACCGATATGTCAGGATATATCTATATATATGTCCAACCAACTTGCCTATCGTTGGGGGCCCAACTGCCCCCATCACCGCTCCAAGGGTCAACTCCATCATGGCTTTTTTGAGCTCTGCCAGGGACACCTCTCGGCGGAGCGCGGAGCTTGACATTGTCTTGATAATGTTATATAAGTATGTTGACATTAACAACAGTAGTGCCCGCACGAGGCGGGGCGGAAGTTGCCTTAGGGTTGTGCTATAAGACCTTTTTCATCTATAGAACTTGCATGCGCCGTGCGCCGGCCAGGCCCCTGCGTGCGTGCTTTGTGCCAACCTGCTGCGCCGCTGTTGTCCAAGAGCATGACCTGCGCGCGACCCGGCGCAATGCAACGCCAAGCGAACACTTTCATCACACTTCGCACTGCACTCTTCACACCCCGCACTCCACACTTCACACTTGCACTTCACACTCCACACTTCAGACAACTCATCTCATCTGAGTTCTTCTCATCTCATTTCATGCCTTCTCATATGTCAGCTAAGTTCTTCTTAACTATTTTCCTTTCATCTGAGCACAGCTCAACCTTTCTCATCTCACCGAAGCTTGTCTCAACTCATCTCGGCTCTTCTGCACTCTGCACGTCAGAAAGCTTGAGACACAGGTGCATTTACACAGACGAGTCTTTACAAAATACTTTCTACTACAAAGCTTGCACAAAGCACGTCCCAGTACTACTTTGTACTACAAAGCGTGCACGAAGCACAGGCTTCCTCCCCACAACCAACCCCCCGGTAACACTCATGCAGCCACTACAATGCGTTTCACAACGACAGCTTCCAAAACACCACGTAACTGGAATGTGCAGGAACATGCGAAACACATCGAAGCAGCCATTACACTGCGGACTACTCCAAGACTTGGCCGAACCTAGCCCGCACCCGCCGCACACACGAGGTACCTTTCATCCCCGGCTGCAGCCACTTTACACGGAAAAACACACGGTTTCGTGCTCCGGCTTCCTCCCCACAACAAACCACATGCAACACTCATGCAGCCATTACAATGCGTTTCGCAACCACGGCTTCCAAAACACAATGTAACTGCAATGTGCAAGAACACGCGAAACACATCGAAGCAGCCATTACACTGCGGACTACTCCAAGACTTGGCCGAACCTAGCCCGCACCCGCCGCACACACGAGGTACCTTTCATTGCCGGCTGCAGCCACTTTACACGGAAAAACACACGGTTTCGTGCTCCGGCTTCCTCCCCACATCAAACCACATGCAACACTCATGCAGCCATTACAATGCGTTTCGCAACCACGGCTTCCAAAACACAATGTAACTGCAATGTGCAAGAACACGCGAAACACATCGAAGCAGCCATTACACTGCGGACTACTCCAAGACTTGGCCGAACCTAGCCCGCACCCGCCGCACACACGAGGTACCTTTCATTGCCGGCTGCAGCCACTTTACACGGAAAAACGCACGGTTTCGTGCTCCGGCTTCCTCCCCACAACAAACCACATGCAACACTCATGCAGCCATTACAATGCGTTTCGCAACCACGGCTTCCAAAACACAATGTAACTGCAATGTGCAAGAACACGCAAAACACATCGAAGCAGCCATTACACTGCGGACTACTCCAAGACTTGGCCGAACCTAGCCCGCACCCGCCGCACACACGAGGTACCTTTCATTGCCGGCTGCAGCCACTTTACACGGAAAAACACACGGTTTCGTGCTCCGGCTTCCTCCCCACAACAAGCCACATGCAACACTCATGCAGCTATTACAATGCGTTTCGCAACCACGGCTTCCAAAAGCGGGCGATTCAAAAAGCGCATAGAACTCACGCACACGGAACAACCACACGTTGCCAGAATTTTAAGGGAGACCAATCACACATCAAACGAACGGTCCGCCACCCGCCCGCACCAGGAGGTATCTTTCATCCCTGCTGCAGCTTTCTCGAAAAACAACAAAGGTTTTTCGTGCCCGGCTTCCTCCCCAAACACAAGTCCGCACGCAAGATTCATGCAAGCCATCACAATGCGATTTGCAACCTGCGATTCAAAAAGCGCAACGAATTACGCACACATGAACAACCACACGTTGCAGAACTCCAAGGGAGAACCAATCACACATAGAAACGGTCGGTCCGCACCCGCCGCACACAGGAGGTACCTTTCATTGCCGCCTGCAGCCACTTTACACGGAAAAACGCAAGGTTTCGTGCTCCGGCTTCCTCCGCAAAACACACCCCATGCAACATGAATGCAGCCATTACAATGCGTTTTGCAGCATCACATGTCTAACCCGCATGTCTCTGCGCACATGGCAACAAAACGCGACAGCACTTCCCAGGTCTCCACTTCCCTTCGTCACCACTTCCCTAAGTCACCACTTCCCTAAGTCACCATCCCTAGATCACCACTACCCTAAGTCACCATTTCCCTAGGTCACCACTTCCCTAGGCCACCACTTCCCTAGGCCACCACTTCCCTAGGTCACCACTACCCTAGGTCGCCACTTC